GAACGACCACTTTGTTGTTCAAATAATGAACGTAATGCATCAACACGACCAGACATTGGTGTTGTTGTTGTTGTTGTTGTTGTTGTTGTTTTTTGAATATCAGATGTATCCATATGATCTTTAACCCATTTTGATTGATTTATTGGATGACGAGTATCAACAACAAGTTGATAATCAAGTCTTTGTAATTGGTCACGAACAAGACGAGGATCAACACCTGATGTTGTTGATGATGATGAAGGAGCAGGAGGAGGAAGTTGTGGTGGTGATGGTGGGACGACTTTTGGTCTTGTCATCATAACTTCATTAAGGTTTGATAATCCACTTGTTCGTTGTAAACGACCAGGTATTGTTTCTCTATTGCTTGATGTTGTTGTAGTTGTTGTTGTTGTATCATCTTCTTCTAAATCTATATCAAATTTTTGTTGATTTTGTTGAGATGTATATGTTCGATTTGTAGTTGTTCGAGGTGTTACAGCAGGTGCAGAAACAGTTGAAGAAGGAGGTGGTGGTGGTGGTGGTATAGGAATACTAGATTCTTCACTAAGACTATTTGAAGCTGATGGTGGTATAACATGTACTAATTGTTCAGCAAATTGAACACGTGATGGACGTCGTTGTTCATCACTGTCATCTAAAATAAATGATGTTTCAAATTGTGTATCAATTGGTGGACTATCATGTGGTGCAGGTGGCCAACTTGATATACGTGTTGTTTCATTTGTTGTTGGTTGACGTGTATTTACAATAGATGAATTATTTATAGGTGTTGAAGATATATTTGTTGGTGTTATTAACCAATCATGATTTGTAAATGAACCGGACATACTGCTAGCTGATGAATGTGTATTTATATCATCACCACTTAAACGTGATGTACGATCAGAATCAAGTTCTTCTGGTTGAATCATTGTTTTTAATGGTACAGATGAAGGTGGTAATGGTGGTGGTGGTGGAGAAGATAATGGTTGAGCAATAATTGTTGTTATTGATGATGTACTTGTTGGAGATGATGAAGATGTTAATTTTTTTTGTTCTTGATTATTACCAACGTGTATAATATATTCTTCGTATGAATATCTTGATTCTTCAACAAGTTCACTTGGTGATTGTGGTATATCAGTTTGATTAATTAATGATGAATTATTAGATAAACGTTGACTACCAGAATGTATTTTTAAACGTTGTTCATAAAGACGATTATTTGTATCAAATATTTGTTGATTTGAATCAATAATTAATGTTGAACCATGTGTTGATAATTGTTTTAATGATAATAATGGTGATGTTTGTGTTGATTTTGTTGTTGCTAAACGATCATAAGTTGCGCGAAATCTAATTGGTTGACGTTCTTGCTGTTCAATAAATATACAACTATCACGATTTGCACTACCAATTGGTTGATTTGCTATATTACGATTAAGATAATAAATAGATAAAATTTGTGTTTCAGCAAATGATGGTATAGATTTTGAATGATATGATTGATTGCGAAAATTTTCCTGAGTATTTGTTTGTGTAGCAATTGTTGATTGTTTAGTTGTCATCAACGATGTTGATGACAATGAATTAATATTTAATGGTAATTGATGTTCACTTATTTGTTGAGAACTTTGAATAATAACACGAGATAATGATGAATCACTTGAATCACCTGAGGATGAATTTAGATGTTCATGTTGTCGTGTTGTTCTTTTCGAACGACGACTTGATTGTTGTTGGTGCATTTAAACTTAAACAAAAAAAAATACAAATAAAAATTTATAAAGAACAATTTCATGTTTTTTTTTTCTTTTTTTAGTTAAAAAAATGAAAATATTGATACAATACCTCCATTTTTAGCATTCTTTAATAGCCTTGAACTCTTTTTATAACATTGGTAATACTACTTATTTCAATCATCATCATCATCATCTCACACGTTTAGTCAGAATGTAAGTATATGTACCGTTACTTGCTTCTTTCGTCTTTTTTCTTTTTTTTTCTTCTTCTTCTCCTTCTTCTCTTATTCGATGTATAAGGACGAATTTTTCTATTTTGTTTTTTTTCATTTTTATATTTACCTGAGGTATGTTCGTTCGTTCTTTTTCCTTCCTTCGTTCTTTTCTCTTTAAGTAAAACTAACTTAACGCGAACATCGACGAGATTAGTTCACTCAACTCTTTCTCCTCCCGCTATTTATGCCTGAGGAAGAAAAAGAGAGAGAGAGAGAGAGAGAGAGAGAAAAATGAGTAATGTCGGCATCGTTAGTCATCACTGCATCATGTCAAAATAAGATGTAGAGACGAATACGCATCGTGATTGTGATTTTTTTTTTGCACTACGGTAAGAAGGCATACATTTATAATGTATTTGGCAACGATTGAAGTGGCAAAGGAACGTGCGCAATTGAATTAATTAAATAAGAAAAAAAAAAGAAGAATATAATTTCTTATTGAATAATTTTAATCAATTCATACAATGAAAAACAAATAACTAATGTTTAATTAAACATCAACATCAAAAATAATAATCATAAGAATTAAAAAAAAAAGAAACTCATTCAACTAAATCTCTAAGATTTCTTATTAATCATAAAAATTAATAGAATTCTTCGGACATGACATTAACTTATAGTTTTACTTGCTTTTTCTTTTTTCTTTTTGATGGCTATCGTTATTATTGAGCCGAAAGAAGAAAAAAAAATGAAACCTTCAACTAACAGGCCAACTTCTCATACATCTTTCACCTACACGCGTGTTGTAAAGTAAATAGTAGTAAATCGCATATATATATATATATATATATATATGTATGTATGTATTCGGTCATACTAAAGTGAAGAACGAAAGGAAAAGTTTCAATTTACTTTTTGTTAGAGTATGGTACTTGACATTTTGTCTTTATATAACAAAAAAAAGTGATTATTATCATTATCTTTTTCAATATTGTTTTAGTTTAATATCCCAAGAGTTGTTTAATACTTCAAAAAAAAA